CTAAAAATATATCAAAATATTAGGAATTAAACCAAAAAGATTACTATCAAAAGAATTAAAAAATGAGTTAAAAAGTCGAGGAGTTGAATATGAAAATCAAAATAAACGACAAAAATTAATAGGAATGTTGGAAGAAGAATTGGGACATGAAACATTAGTAAATACAGAAGGTAATATATGATTATGTATATGTGCTCCTAATATGTTACAATGATTTTAATTTCCAATGAATGAATTAAAGATATAAAATTTACTTGCATATTTTTAGGTTCACATCTGAGGAATCCAAGCATGTCTAATGAGGAACAAGAAATAATGTAAGTTTATATATAAAAAATTATTTCTGATTTATAAAAGATAATAAAATTGAATATCTTACATACCATAGACCAGTGGAGGTATCCAAATTTCCATTAACAGGTGGTTGGGCATTGAAAGAGGTTCAAAAATATGGTAAGAAAGGTGGGGGTAAGCGTATGAAAAAAAAAATTGTATATATTTTAGAACAGTGCTTTTTGGCTGGAAATATTGATAAGAGTTGTCGAATGAGTGCACAAGAAATGTTGGATTATTTGAAGTTGAAAATGGAAGAGGGAGAAATTGAAAGTTCAGATTTACCAAAATTGTCAACTATACAAGGATGGATAACCCGTTTTACAGCACAATTACGTGAGAAAAGTGCTCAAGCAACAATTGGTGTTGAAAGTCAAAATGTCTTTATCTAATAATTAAAATATAAATATTATTATTATTATTATTATACTTTAATACATTCTTGTAAACTAAATACAAACATCCATTTATATCTCTTTTTTTTGAATAAAATTAATACAAATGTCTATTTATATTTCTTTTTCTTGAATAAATAATCAAATATTATACTTAAATCTTAAGTTTTATATAGCAACTTTAGGCAAGAATCCAGCGGTCCCTCCATATAAAGGTAAAATACTTTATAAGAAAGTCCCTTTGAAAATTTGTATGTTGAAAATTTGAGATTCTTATTATTTATTACAATTGCAAATACAATTTATAAATTCGTATAATAGTAGTTTTTTAGGAATGAAGTATGGGTTCCGGAAAATTTCAATTAGTGATCTGCGAAAATTTGCGCCAAATTCTATTATGAAATTTTTGCAGTTGTTTCACGTATCACGAATTAATATTAATAAAATTCGTTATGACAAATATTTTTAATTAATAAAAAAGGGGCCGATATTTAAATTCGTTGTAACAAGGGATTCGCTGTGACGAGGTTTGACTGTACTTACCATATTCGTATTACAATTTATACGTATATTCTACCGTTTTTTTTCAAACAAAAAAATTTTTGATTTTCTAATAATGATGATGATGACATACAAGTTATAAGATACACGTGTATAGTTAAAATAAGCTAATTTATTTATTTTAAGGATCAATATTCAGATTTTGGCACTCATTAATATTAGTGTGAAATAACGATGACTGACAATAGCACAAATTTATTGGAATAGAAAGCATTGAAAGGACAATCGATAAAGCAAAAGATAAAGAAGTGTACACAGACTATATTCTATTTGAAGGATCCCTGAATATAAGATATCACATACTGTATATTGGAATTGCGTACAAAATGAATTTTACGCTTTTTTACTAATGGATATGGGATAAGGGTCATGCCCCTAAACATATCAGATATTCATATAATCGAACGAGATTATTCTAGGTCATAATCTATCTAGTCTGCCCACAGATATAAAATTGGCATTAAAACTTGGAGTCCTTAGATTTATCGTTTAAAGGTTTATTTGTTAATAAAATTGCGTAGTTTTCCAATTTTGTTGTTTATAGGAAATCTACAATGAAGTCATCATTATTATGATGATGTAAGGACAGAGAATCAAAGTTCAATTTCGACTCCCAGTTTCACATTTTGGTTTTAATATACAAGGGCTAGTCCTGGATATTAATAGGCTATTAATCAATAATAAAAAATGAAATATGCGTATAATACAAGATTATTTGTCGTTTTAATTGAATGAACAAGATAATTATATAAAAATTTATATATTTAAATAGAAGAGACCTAATACTAATACTAACATTGAGATTATGTTTCATCGAATTTCAGATTTTTATTAATATAAAGTAACCGGGTATTATTATTATTTAGATTATTATGATTATTCATTGGACCTTTATAATTATGAAATGACATTGATAACTGAAAAATCATTAAAAACAGGAAATGTTCTCAGGATTAATAAAAACTTGGACCACGAACCATCAACTATATAATTCTTTTCGATAAACTGAAGAATATCAAGAAACCAGTAAGGATTGAAGGAAAAGAAGATGGGTAGTTAAACAAAGCAAGGAAGGAAGGATTGAAATTCATAAATTAATGTTTGGATCAAAGAAATAGAAGGGGATCGGCCGAAAAGTTCGTCTTTTACTGAGAAGCAGACAAGAGAAAAGCAAAGATGATCGAAAGAAATAAACAAGAAACAGTAGTCATTCCTTTTTTAAAGCCTGTTTTCTTTAAAAAATTTTATTGATTGATTATAAAATTTACAAAAACGTTAGTTATGTTTTATGTTCTTGATTAACTGGGTTACCACGTCTAAAATAAATTAAAGATTTGAAAATAAATAAATTAAAGATTATTATTATTGGATTCAAATTCTGTTTTAAGATTTGGTAAAAATTTATCAATTTTTGTCCATGTAATTTCCCATATTTCAATTGATGTTTTGTCATTAAGTTTATTATTATTCTCATTATTCGATGATGAACCTGGTGGAATTAAAACACCTGAAGTTGACATTACTAATAACATATTCTTTAATGATTCAGGAACTGCTTCTCTCTAAAAAAATCAAAAAAATCAAAAAAATTACAACTCTAATCAAGTATAATTACTAATAATAAACGATAATGCTTACCAATGAATCTGTAAACATATATTTTTCCATTACGTCTAAAATTTGTGACCACAATGTAATTAATCCACCCCATTCCATCAACCTATTCAGATAATGTAAGAATATTTTACATAATAATGCCGAAGCTCTTATTCTAGATTCATCAATACCAACTGGGTCAGCTTGATATATTTCTGGTTTTAATAGTTGATCTAACAATGGAAACAACACAAGATCAAACACCAATACCCATTCCGTGCCACCATGTGATACAAGCTGTGGGTTTAAAAGTGACCGTTGCAAATATGCTATTGCATTTTGTCTAACTTCAAAACATGGACTATAACATTGTTGACTGAATCCTGTTAAAATTGGTAACCAATAATTCGACCAAGCTTCTCTTGGTGATTTACCAGTTTCACTGAGCAGGTTTGGTATTTCAACATATAATATATCCATCAATACAACAGCTTCTTTTGCTCTATCTATAATAGCAGATTGACTTTTTTTTAGCGATAAAAAAAAATAATAATGATAAATTAATTAATAAATTAAATTTTTCTTTTCAAAATTACATTTGGAAAAAATCAAAAGACTTACGTTTTAGTAAGATTATCTCTTGAATTTTTTGGTTTCGGTGATTCAACGAACTGTTGCTTTTCTTGTTGATCTATTGGAAATGTAGCAGCTGAAGCGAACTCTGCCAAAAGTTCTACACAATCATTAAAGTTATCAAGATTGATACCTTTTTTTTCTTTTATTAATAATGTAATAACATCAAATGAATATTTAGATGCTTGTGGGTGTGTTGAAGTTGCTCTAAGTAATTTGAAAACTGGTTCTCGTGGTCTTTTCCCTTTGATATATGAAGGATCTGATTTGATAATATTCAATATTCCTGCCATCATTTGTTCACCAACAGAATTTATTACATCATCTGGCAATGTAGCCAATAGTTCTAATGCCAACAAAATATCAGATATCATTTCATCCTTGTGTGTCAGATGAATACACAATCTAAGTAATGCAACAACTGTTCTCTCAACTAATAGAATACTATTATTTTGAGATTCTTTTAAAATATCAGTTATATGTCCAAAAAGAATCGGCCTAAATAATCAATCGTTTGGCAAAAAACTTTTATTTTATTATCTATTTAAAAAAAAAATATATATATATTAATAAATTACATACCATAAATATTGAATTCGATCTCTATTTTGTAATGTAACGTTTATCATTAGTTCAAGAAAGAATACAGCAGCAGGATCATATGAACTACTTTTTGGTGACTGTTGTTGATCAGTAGAAGTTGGGTGTGTGGTATGAGGTATTGGCGGATATGATAATTTAGTAACATCATTGATCTTTGTTGTTGTATTTCCATCTGCAATAAATTTGAGTGCTTTCATAAGATTTTTAAGCGATTCTTGACCTAAAGTTCTATGTAAATCAAAAATAATATGTATCATTATAATATATGTATACAGTATATTCTATAAATAAATATTATTACATCATAATAATTAATTATTTTATTACACACAAACCTTATGTCAGCAAATATATCATCTAAATGACATGCTTTAACACAATCAACTGTACACATGGTGCATTCTATTTCTTCTTTGGTGGGTGCACTTCTTGAAGATTCATAATTACCCGAATATGGCGATAACAAATATGAGGATAATGCCGATAATAAAAAGTTGTCACGCCTTTCTTGTTTTGAAAATGTAGTAGTTTTTGGTTTAAGTGGAATTGTTGTTGTACCAGCTAAAAAATCTTCCACTTGTATCATTGAACTTGGTAATAATGAATTTACAAAAAGATTTTTTATAATTTCTAAAATCTAAAATATTGATATAAAATGTAATAATTGCATAAAATTCATTTAATTTAATTGAAAATAATATGAAATTATAAACCTACGTATTTCCATCCATCTCTCAATACATTTCCATGTTCATTAGCAACAGCAAATAAAACCACAGCAGCTAGTTGTCCCTTATAATTTCTTCCAAATTGAATTGTCAAATCACTTACTGTGATATCAATATCTTGAACTTTAATAATCGGATTATTGGCAGTCTCATTTGAATATCTAGAGCCAAGAAGTTCTGTCATCTTTGCCAACGACATAATTATATAATCAAACACTTCATATAATTTATATTGGGCTGATAATAATGCACATCGATGAAATCCATTAATAGCTTTTTGTAAAGTTGCATCGTCTGGTGCTGTACTAAATGCTAATAATAGTAATAATAATAATAATAAATGAAATATTATGTAAATCATTTCTTTGTATAAATAAAATTTGATATAATTATGAAGTTAGCTTTTTTTTTAATTCTTTACCAAAGGAAATAGCTGCTACTGTGGGCTTCCATACTGTTGTAAACATATCTTTATCGTACAAAGGAACGTTGCATATTACAAATGGCCCTATAAAAAGTTAAACATAATTAAATTATTATCACTTCATTAGTTTCAATTGAATTTTATAAATTTTATTTACCTGCACTTTCGGCTCTATGTAATAGTTCTTTCCATGCATAATTAAATCCCAGTTGACCTTCATGTTCTTCAGGCATTATTATTTCTTTTTTGCGAATAGCATCATAAATTGCTTGCTATTTTAAAAAATGATTTATAAATATTAATAGAGATTTTAATCAAAAAAAAAATCAAAAAAAAAAAATTTTTTACTAGATATTCTGTGGCAAAATTTTGTCCATTGTTAACATTTCTTAAATTTTTCATATAATCCTCAATCCCCATACGTCGCTAATCAAATGAATGGAATAAATTTTACTTGTCAATTTAAATTTAGAAATTTTTTTTAAAAAAAAAAAGAATATAACATACTCGAACTTGTGGATTATGTAAATCAGTGTTCAACAATATAACTGAATAAGCTAGAACAAATGTAGCATCTTGTGTTGCAATTTCAGCTTTTTGTTTTAAAAAAAACTCTTTATAATTAGTTTGAATAAAGTATATCCAAAAATCATGATTATCATAATATAATTATACCTGGTTTAGTAGCAAAATAAGTTATAGCAAAAGTTTCCATAATTCTTTCAATTTGTTGTGCCTCACCTGGCAATCTAAACGATTCAAGCATTTCTCTCATTGCTTCATCTATTCTTCTCTATTTAAAATTATAATTTTAGTAAAATTACAATTACAAAATCACCATAATCATAATAATCATTATTATAATAAACATACTCCTTGAAAATTAAAAAGTTTTACAAAAGCTTTCAATATCTCAATATTTGAGGGTTTTGATAAAAAGTCACCAAGAACAGTTTTGTTTAGACGTGGTGTCGATTTTAAAAATATCGCAGTAGTATTATTTTCATCGATTGTATTGTCATTATAAATAATTCCATTTGCTAAAATAAAAAAAATTAAAATCAATTTGATTAAATATTTAATTTAAAAATAACACAATAATCAATACGTATTTAGGAATAAATAAATAAATGATACCTTTAAGAAATTCTAACCCTGTTTTAGGACTCTCGTTAAATTTTGCTGCACCTTCGCATAATATTTGTTTTAGTTGTTTGCGCTTTAATAATTCTGCAGCAGAAGGATAATTCTAAAAAAAAAAAACTTTTAATTTTTATGAGGTAGAGTAAAAATTATAAAAATTTTGATTTCCAAAAAAATAACCTTTGGTTTCATTCCTGAATTATAATCAGCTGCTGTCATTTGATCCCAAGACAATTCATAACTAGAGCTAGAGCTAACAGTTTTCTATAAAGCAATTATAAAATAATTAAAATAAAAATAAAATTTTCCACCCAAAAATTTCTGAAAACTAAATTAATTACCTGCAATCGATCTATTATGTGATTTATAAACATTAAAAGTGTATCAAAACATATTATATGTGAGTTGCTCGCAGAATATCCAGTAGAATCAGGAAAGGAATTCTTTAACATATGAAAAGAAAGTTAACAAAATCTATTTCACATATAAATAATTAAGTATTATCAATTTATCAATTTATTTTATTTATTACCTTACTTAAGAATTTAATAACTTCCTCAAATAAATCATCACAATCAACATTACAATCATAATTAACCCACAAATCAACCATGAAAGATGGCTCTCTAGCGAATTGACCCAGTGTTTCTAACAATAATTCACGAATTTCGCCAGTAGCGTATGAAATATTACTCATTCTGAAATTACGTTGATCACGATTTGGTGATGTTGGAGCGCTGGGATCAAGCTGCAGAACATTATCGAAATTAGGATTAGAAAATACTTCGTTGAATGCATGAGATATTGGACTGTTTGATGGTGGTGTCAATCTTTCAATCAAAAATAATAAATAAAGTTCTTGTTGTAGTTTAAGATATGGACGAAGTGTACCAAAAACTGTTGAGATAACACGAAGCGTCAATGATAACAATGTCATGTTATCTGTACGTGCCAACTTAATCCAATAAATAAAATATTTTAGACATTTTAACAACTAAATATGTTATTGGAGGATAATAAAATAAATTTACTTGAAAAAGATATTTGCACAGTTCATCAACAGCGAGGTTACGTAAAACTTCAAACCGGCCTATTGTTTGACCACCAACTTCAAAGGCCACGTTCAGAATACTAAGGGCCATGAGTCGCATAGTGTCAGTGTGTTGATGATCATGAGGATTGAGTAAGGATATGAGAACACGAAGTAATTCACGTATGGAGGGTACTCCAAATGGTTTCGGATCTAAGGGAAAGACAAAAATAATCATTAGAATAAATTATTAATTATTATTATTATAAAAGCATGTTTAAAAAAATACCCATTTCTTTTTCTTCTTCATTTGGAACTTCGCTAGAAGGTTCAGTAACTTTGTTGTAGATTAGTCATGTTTTGTATTTATTTTATTTATCGTTTAGTTTTATGTTGTATTTTGTAATTTCAACAAATTACATATGACATCTAATTGATAGTACGAAATATAAACCTAGCTAAATCACAACATTAAGACCTTCCAGTTGAAATAGAAATAAATACCGGTTGATAATGATTTTCCCTCTTGGTTAGTCAATATTTCGTAATTTGATTCCATCTCATCTTCTTCTTCCATCACCTCTTCTCCTTTTCTATTTAATTTCACCAAGTCATCATTATTAGAGATTGAGACAGTATTTGTGCTGTTGTTGTCGCTAATATTTTCCATTGATAAAGGAAGATGAGGAGATTTTGGATCTGGCGGTGCCATACGAACTTGTAAATCTTGAGAAGAACTATTTTCAAGGTCGCCATATTCGCAAGACAATGATGATGATGGTTTCTCCTCCAAAGATTTAAGTCTAAAATGGTTTTTCTGTGAACATTAAATTTATTATCAATGTTATGGTATTTTAAATAAATAAATACCTTTCAAACATATTTTGTACCATTACAGTCATTGTATGCTCTGCTGATCTACGTAACATTTCTAAATAAAATAATAATAATATAAAATTTAAAGTGACCAAATTTAAATTTGAGTTGTTTAAATTTACACGCACCACTAAGTCTCATTTGACAACACATGCTTAAACCAGTCTCCATCATAGCACAAAGAGCTTCATCACTAAGAACTCGGCCAATTTCACAGGTTAAAGCTAATCGCAACACTTGTAAAATTTTCAAAAGAACAAACTCGTCTGATACAGAATCGCTTCCTTCGAATTTACAATGAGTTGCGGCAGATGATAACATCGACATTGCTTGAGATAGACTTGGTGAATTCATATTTAAAACTCTATATGTCAAAAATTTCTCTACACTTCCAAGTGCTGTTGCAGTTATAGGCCCATTTGTATCTCCAGATTTGATAACTTCCAAAAAAGGTTCTAGTAATGTCACTGCATCTATCTCGTTTAATTCTTTTTTTTAATCAATAAATAAAATAGGATTATATATCAATTAACCATAGTTATATTGAAGAGAAGGAAAAATAGAATAATATAAACCTGAAACAGTTGATAAATGAGATCTAAGATTCGAAAAACCAACCAACAATGGACTTTCCTAAAATAAAATAAATAATCAATAAGTTAAATTTGAGAAAAAAACAGCATTATAAAATCTCTTAATAACTTCTGGCAAATGAATATATCTCGACAAAATATCTTTATCTTACTTGATTTCTATAACCTGTCTCGGCGACAGAAATTCTTCTTAGACCCATGTTTATACCTAATCCGCCCATATTTAAACTATTAACATTCATGCCAGACCAACGAGAATTTTTTCTCATTGCACTTGTAACAGAAATAATTTCAGCATGTACTAAATTTGACCATTGTAATTCGCAAGTTGCTTGTATTTTATCTACTATATGATCGCTACTAATATTATTACTAAATTCATTAGAGTCATGTCGTTGAACATTTTTAGAACAGTCCACTTGATTATTTGAAAAAGGTTCAGTAAAAGAGGAAGATTTTAATTGCGACATTTTTTCTTTTTTTCAGTTGAAAACAAATCGATAATAAATAGAACGTTGTTGAATAAATTTTACATTTCATGTGACTTCTAACCAAATTTAGAAAGATTTCTTTCCAATATATCTAAATTTCCTTAAATCTCTTCGAAAAAAAAAACAAGTATGAGGGATTGTGATAGTACTTTTCGTTTACAGTGCGATTTTAAAGGCTGCTATTGTGAAGAATTTGGTCCAGTTGACGACCGTAGAATAATCTGTGATTGTGGACATCGTGCAAATAAACATTCAATTAGACAAGAGCAAGGTGTTGGGTCTTCCTCCTCTGGTAGATTTACCTATCCTAATCTATCTTTGGTTCGATCTGACAGTGATTACCTTGCAAGCAAGTTTTAATATTAAGTTTGTCTATCATAAGAGGCTAAGTTATAATTCTCTTCTTTGCAGATAACCAAAAATTCATTTCCTCTGTTTCCGGTCTTTTTCAAAGTGAGCATAGTTTTTTATAGCCAAATTTAATTGCCCTATTTAACTTTTTCATTTCTAACTATGAT